AAAAAGCTTCTTTCCTCAGCCTCGTCTAGCACAATGTCCTCTGTGAATCCTTTGCACCTCCCTGCACGGATAAGCAGGTATAGATAATGGATGGATGGACATTTGTCACTTTTATATACTGAAATATTGCACACACCACCTGCTCACTGTTCAAATGTTCAGTTTAGCATTTTAACACACACTCAACATATACATGGAATTTGACTCCATTTTGATTATTTACTGATCCCAATGTACTTACACAGAAATACAGACATAGACATACAGACATACAGCTAATAACAGCAACAACAACGATAGAAAACCTGTTTGCTTCTCTGATCTCCTTTGTCAGCGTGTTTCTGACCTGGTTTCACAGCATTCACTGTCATCACTCCTGAAGTCCTCCACTTCGGCCTGACGAAGCTGCCTGAGTTTAACTGTAAAACAGTTTTGTTGTTGTTGCATGTGCAAAAGGTTTTAGTTGGAACACGTGTCCTCTAAAGCTGATACAACATCAGATCATGAGATCAGTATCAGAGCTACAGAGAACATAGTTGATTATGAGGCTGAAGGGATGTGAGATCTTCTGTCCTCTCACTCACTCAATTCAATTAAATTAAAATGCTTTATCTGCATGAATGTCATCAGAACAGTATTGCCAAAGCTTTAACGAAAATACAACAATTCAATTCATACAGTTAAATAAAAAAAAAACAGTAAACATGTGTGTGTGTTTAATGAACTGTCATTTTTAATCACTCTCTCTCTCACACACACACACACACACACACACACACACACACACACACACACACACACACATTTCACTTCTTCATGAGTGACATTTGATTTAAATCAGTTTAAGTTGTAAACAGCGTGTCTACTCAAGTGACTAGACTAGGTAGAGAAATCATTATTTATTTAAAGACCTTTTTTTTTGAAAGAGCTTATATGGACTTAAATGTCAACAAGATGGTTAATTTATTATTGTCTTTACACTTGTTAAAGCACTTTGTAACTTGTTTTTGAAAAGTGCTCTACAAATAAAGATTATTATTATTATTATTTAGCAACATTTTCTTTTACTATAAATAAGTCTTAGAAACTGAAACTGAATATTGTATTAAACAGCGTTTAAAGCAAGTTTTCACTGCAGTTGATTTATGTTGTAATTACAGTAAACTTATAAATGCAGTCGTTGTTGTGAGTCATGATAATCTGTCCCAACACACTGACAAATACATTTTTATTGATAAAATGTTTTACATTGTTAATTGGCCATCATTCAATGTGTTTTCAAAGCCCTGACGTGCTTCAGTGCTTCTCATACAGAAATGAGTGTTGTTCAGTTTTTGTACAGCTTTGTAGTCTGGTGTGTCACTGTGGCTCTCGTGCATAATAATAAACAGCAGAGTCTTCTTGTTTCAGACTCTACACCTCTAAGTACAAAAGATTTTTGGACCTGTCTTTGGTGAAACTGGCCCTGGAGACTTTGGGCAAATATTTGTCTTCTGGCAGTATCACTTATTCATTCAGTTTACATCTCAGTGTCTCACAAGCACAAGAAGAAACAGCAGCTCCTTCACTCTTCCAACTGTTCATCTTGAAATCTATAGTAGATGGTGAGATCTGTTATGTAAATGAAATTAGGGTTGTGGTGAAGCAAGCTCACAAAGGGAGTATAAAACTCTAGATCAGTCCAAAGTGACAGTTAAGATCAGCGGAATTTCACTCCCATATTGTGACCAACTTTAGATGCCAAATAATATATGAATGTCATTGGCTGTTCTGAATGAAGTGATCATTACAGTCAGACATTTATACCAGCTGTGACAGCATGTGACTCGTATTGTTTTCAACTCCTGAGTCTGTTTGTGTTTCACTGTCAAAATGTGTTCCAGGAGACACCTACCGTAGCGGGAACTACCATTGTGGTGATTTACAGTACTTTTCCAGAAGTGTCTGTGGACAGATTTTCATAATGAAAAAGCGTCACAACCGTGCAAGATGCAGTCATGGTACTTTACAGGTGTTTATTTTAGATCGAAATGAATGCTGACTTTGAATATGGATGTGGTCGGAGCAAAGATACAGGAACTTCTATCTTACACAGACTCCGCCCTCTACTGGACTATGTGGGTACTATCTCCTCCAATCACACCCACCCACTGAAATTTTATTGTGCACGTAGCCGACCAATATGACGTCGCTACCGATACGTGCGTGACGTATAAATAGCAGTGTCCTTACTGCCTCAGCATCCTTTTTTTCTTTACCAAACGGCAAGCTGCTCACTGAATTCACCACCTCCACAGATGGAGTTGCCACTTCTAGAAATTAATCTTTGCACCCGGGCGAGGTGACCCGCATCCTGCCCAGACGAGTTCAGTCAATCTAAGCTAACAGTTCGCCCTGCAGCCTACGCCACTCTCCCGGTCAGAACAGAGTGAGAGGGTGGTTTGCTAGCCTGTGGTGCGTTCAAGGAGACCACAGAGAAGCAAGCTGTGGTGTGTTCAGGGACACCATGGCCCCCCCTTGGGCTAAACTTCTATTTATGGAGAGTTTGGCGGCGAAGAGTGCCGAAGATGCATGTAGAATGGCAACGCTGCTGCATGCTGACAAGCTGGGTGGACAGCATTCTGAGATGAGGCTCCTCTCTTCAGTTCTGCTGCATACCACCAGTTTTCCTGGACATAATGGAAGCCAGTCTATCCTCTCAAGAGGAAGTGGACCTTCTGGCCGCCAAGATCCAGCAACTTTTGCTGAAGCAGGCTGTCTTAGGGGATCTCATGCATGACATGCACAGAGGTCTTGCTCCATGTACTTTTTGGTCTCGAAAAAAGAGGCTTCTGAGCCATTCTGGATCTCTGCCATCTGAACCAGCATGGGCAAAAGGGCGTTTCCACATGCTGATGATCAACTGCTGGACCTGAAAGACGCCTATTTCATGTTGAGGTGACACAATAACAGGGAATTTCTATTCTTCACCTCTCAGGGTGTAGCCTACAAATACATTAGGCTCCCCGTCAACTACTCGCTAGCCCCCCACACGCTCAGCAGATGCTGCACTGCAATCGTTGCGCGAGAAGGGCATGAGGGTTCTTTTCTACTCACGACCTCATGGTCATGGAGAGATTGAAGCCTTAGTTGATCTCCACACAGCCCAGTTGATTTTGCACCTCAACAGCCTGGGGTTGTGATCAACTGGGAAGAGAGCTCCCCCCAGCCGCTGCAGCGAGCGGAGTATCTGGGGATTGTGCTCAACTACAACACTCCAAGAGCGTACCTGTCGAGACAGGCGCGTCACTTGGTGGTCGACAGTCTGCAGGGGAGTGCAGTGAGTGTTGTGGCTTCCCGAGGAGAGCCGAGGGGGCCACACACCACACATCCACAATCCACTCCAGCTTGTGTTTCTAGTGTGGTGGTGTGTTTCCTCCAGCACGTACATGAACAGACAGGGCGGAGTCCAATCCACTGCTCTGTTGGCGCTGGCAGGGAATCCATGGACGTGGGCATCAGAACACCTGCTGTCTCTGAAAGCCCTTCACGTCCCAGGCTTGGAAAACGGCGGTGGCTGACCTCATGTCGAGGGCTGGCCCCCAACTGAGCGGGTGGAGACTGCACAACAATGTGGTTCAGCAGATCTGAGCTCGCTTCGGGAGAGCAGAGGTGGATCTGTTTACCAACACCCACTGCGGTTTGCAATTCAGCCACAGGACAGCCCACCCTTGGGGATTGACGCACGAGCCATTGCCAGAAGAGCTGCTGTTTGCATTCCCCCCCACCCCATCTCATCCCTCCAGTTAGGTGAGGCAGGAACAGTCGTTCATCATTCTAGTAGAAGTGACGCAGCCTACAATGACAGCCCTGGCTTGGTCTGGGGGGGGTCTGTCACAAGGGTGAGGCTTCATATGCACAATGCTAGTGTTGGACCATCCTCTCCAGGTTTTGCTCCTAAAAGGGGAGAGGCAGGCTGGTCTATCCGCTGAGGTCGTACAGACCATCCAAGCGGCGGGCAGTCTCCACCATGTCTTGCTGTAAAGCTAAGTTGTTGGGCTTTCAGCGCTGATGCATTGACAGGGAACCGGATCTGCCTACCTGTTCGGTGGGATCCGTTTTCTCTTTCCTGCAAAGTCTGATGGAGAAGGGGCTGTCGCGCTGCAGCTATATCTCCTGTGACGGGGGGTTTATTGACAGAACAGTCTTCACCCACCCCCTCGTAATACGCTTTTTGCAAGGTGTGAGAAGACAGCGACCGGTGTCGTGTCTTTCTGCGCCTCAGTAGGACTTCCTGCTTGTGTTGGTGGCTCTAATAGCTGCACCTTATGAGCCCCTGGAGCAGTCCTGCTATCTCTTGAACAGCCCTGTGCCTTGCTCTCACCTCTGCTAAGAAGGTGAGTGAGCTGTGTGCCTGTCGGTTCACCCCAGCTGCATGCTGGTTTATGGTGTCCACAGTGGCCGGCCTGTGGCCGATATGGTAACCCTAGTTCTATAAGCACAGGTGATGAGCCCTGCCGCTCCGACACCATCTGCTGAAGAGGCGGTTGGATGCTGAGGCAGTAGGGACACTGCTATTTATACGTCACGCATGTATCGGTAGTGACATCTTATTGGTCAGCTACGTGCACAATAAAATTTCAGTGAGTAAGTGCGTGCGTGTGATTGGAGGAGGTAGTACCCATAGAGTCCAATAGAGGGCTCTGCTTACAGAACTAGGGTTACCATATCGTAACCTTCGTTATTACATGTCCAGTACAGCGTACTGATGAAATAATGTAGTGATTTTTAATACTTATGGGTTGGAATGTTGGCGGGGTTGCAACTGTGATTCCATCGCAAGAATGCGTTTAATGGTTATTGTTGTTTTTTAATAATGGTTTTCTCAGGGCTAATTTACGTGATTGTATATAAAACCATAAAACAAAAGAAAAATGAAAACGGAACTATTTTGTTATGTCATCCTAGTGAGGATGAGTTGCCTAGTGTAACTTTTTGTACAGCTGCTCAACCAACTCCAGTCACTGTGACTCTCGAGCACAGTAATAAACAGCTGAATCTTCAGTCTTCAGACTGTTCATCTGCTGTCTGCTGTTGTCTCTGGAGATGGTAAACCGGCCTTGAACTGACTGAGAATAGTAGATGCTCCTACTGAGAGTACCAATAAATGCGATCCACTCTGGTCCTTTTCCAGGAGCCTGTCTGATCCAGTTCATGTTGTAGCTGCTGAAAGTGAATCCAGAGGCTGTACAGGTCAATCTGTGGGATTCTCCAGGCCTTTTAACCACTGGTTCAGATTCTGTCAGAGTCTGACCATCAACACCTGTCAAGAGGATAAAAACATCAAGTGAAATAACCTGGTGACACAAATAAAATACATATTGGACTAAGATCAGTGAAGATCTTCACCTGCCCAGCAGACAGTTAAAAGCAGCAGTCCTGTCCTATAGTCCATCATGTTAAACTGTGTGTCCACTGTTCTCTGTCATCCTCTCTGCAGTCAGATAAGTAGAGGTGGAAGACATCTGAGTTTTGCATTGACTCCTCCTCATTGAAGAGAGAGATTGAATAGTGTCTTTTAAACCACTCCTCAGGACGGTTTGAATTAATTATTTATCCTAAATTACTGTAGTTTATGAGATAAATATCATGTCATATGTCAAAACTGGGGAAAAAAACTTGGACCTTCAAACTGAAATTTGAAGGTCCATGTTTGATAGCTTGAACTGTAATAAAAATGTTTTGCAAAGTTCAAATCTCCTTAAACATTATTTTATATTAGTTTATTTCTCACTGTTCTCCCAGTGTATTAGTTTTTTTCCCAGGTCCAGGACCCTGTGTACTCCGTTCCCTTTTTCCCCCACTCCTACACCCTTGTTAGGTGGAATTGACAGACTGCCCTGCCAATGACAGTAGATCTAAAAGGTTTGTGGCAGCAGTAGCTCAGTCCATAAGGATTAGGTTGGGAACCGGAGGGTTGCCGGTCCAGCTTGGACCAGAGTTGCGGAGTGGTAGCTGGGGAGGTGCCAGTTCACCTTCTGGGCACTGCCGAAGGAGGCCTTGAACCCCCAACGGCTCGGGGCGCTGCACTGAGTGGCAGCCCCCTCACTCTAACATCTCTTTGTGTGTTGCTATAGGTTGTGTTTGTGCATGTGTGTGTATTTCAGACCTGTGTGTATATACTAATATACACACAGAGTGAAAACAATGAGTTTCCCCTCAGGGGATTAAAGGTATGTTTTCCTCTCTGCCATCAGATTAGTGAAGGTGGAAGACAGCTAGGTTTTCCATTGACTCATCCTGACAGGGAGGACAGAGCTTGGCCTTTGTTTCTTGGAACTGATAAACAATAATGTACAAGTTGCAACACCAGATAAATAAATGTGATTTAGGATCTAATTTTTTTTTTTCACGACACAAAATCTTGACATGTCCAAAACACGTTTTTACCCATCTTAATCTCACTTCAGGTCCACAAAGTGATTTATCTATTACAGTAAAGAAAAACACGATGAGAATCATTCAATTATCATTAAATAGTAATTCAGTTTTTAGATTTTACAGGGAGGAGAAAAGTGGATTTGACTTTGCTTTCAGTTTATTGTTTGATGAAGAATCAACATTCAAGAGTCATTCCTTCAAGTCAGTCGAGGTTGTCTGACGTGTTAATTTCATTTGCGATAAATGTCTGAGTATTACCACCACAAACTTTTAATGCTTTTAATACAACTTCAAAATGCTCTTAGTTTATAAATCTGACAAATTTACAAACAAGATTTGATCAAATATGTTCAAATATAATTTGGCCTCATTACTCCCTGTGAGAATATTGGACAGCAGATGAGCTAAATGACCTACAGTATTCCTCTGATCCACTAGCATTTTTGAAAACTGATAGAATGTCATCTACTCATGTTACACCACCCACCATGTTTTTAATATATTTTGGATCGTGGACATTTCATTATCATTCTGATCCTGCCAAGTCCGTTCTGTGATCAAACTGATTTCATATAATTTATGATTTGTACTTGTGACAATAACGCTTTGACATTTGAAAGAATTAAATTACGGTTTGTGATGTAACATCATTAAGCTAAAAAATGTTTACTTATGAGTTTAAAACATTTAGAACTTAACATGGATACATCAAAGTGTTTTTGCATCTGGTGAGAAAATGAAGATCACGTTGCTGTTTGTTGTCTGTGGAGGTTTTTGTGCAGCTGCTCCACTGTCTGCAGTCACTGTGTTTTATCGAGCACAGAAGTAAACAGCAGAAACTTCTGCTGTCAGGCTCTTGACCTCGAGGTACTGAGTGCTGCTGGGCACATTTTCAGTCATGATGAAACGGCTTTGAAAGGAGCTGGCATAGCTAGCAGAGTTGGAACCTGTGTTCATCCACCCAATCCACTCCAGAGCTTTCCCTGGCCTCTGTCGTACCCAGTGAATATTGTAGCTTGTCATGCTATAACCAGATATGACACATGACATCTTCACTGTCTCTCCAGGTCTTTTCACCTCAGAGGGAGACTGGTCCTGTTTGATCTCACTCCAAACTCCTGTAAGCAAAGAAATTCTGATTATTACTGTCACAAAAGAAGTAAAGCATTAATGGTAACTACAATTAATAAACTCCAGATAATTGTATTGCCCATTCTGTGATAAACACTGTAGTTCAGCTTACTGATCCGAGTGTTTCAGAAATATATAAAACTGTCCCAGTGTTCTGCCACAAGTTGCTGATGGTGTGTTTATAAGAGAGGAAGAGTTTGCATAGACCTAAAAAGGGAACATGTGACACACATACATTTCCATAAGTAGAGAATCTCTAACAGCTGAGGAAACTGTATACCGGTATGTAAATATCAAAGTCCTGACAATTCATTTATGGACTAACCAAATAGGACACAAAACTTCCTTCCATTCCATAATGACAATCATTTACTCGTGCAGTTTAGAGCTTTTTCATCTTGGCAAATTTACAAAAGGGAAATTTTCCTTATTTGTTAATTATTAATACCTTTTGAGAGACAGAGCTATTGTTATGTCCGATGTTATTTTCTACTGCATTGCATTGAAACTGAAAATATGCTTTCCTCATGTCCTCTAGGCATCCACAAGAAATAAAAATGGGTCATATCCTTATTATAATGCCTGCAGTGGAGGTCAAATGAGATGCACATGGATACATTAAAATACTCCACTCGTTCTCTGTTTTACATTCAGTGAATTCCATAAACATCCAACTATACACAACTGTCCTCCTTTTTTCAAAAACCACACCCATTTCCCTAAACTCTACACACAAATCCCTTCATTTCAGATTGCCTACATCATGCAGTCATTGAGAAAACACTAACATTCAATATTGTTCACTCAATCAGCACAGAGAATCTCTGGCCTGTCCAAGACCAAAGTCAGGAGGCTGGGGCAGAATAATTAGTTGTTTGGTGTGTTGTACTGTACAGTACTAAGAAATAAAAAAAAAAAAAGTGCAAATGTTTACATTTGTTATTTCTATTGTTGTGTTCGTTGTGTGAAAAGGTTCCTAGGGTTTGGTTTTTCAGCAAGATTGAATGGTTTTGAGTGGAGAGCTTCATTTTAACTTGAAAATAGGACATTTGGGGAATTGGGTGAGAAGCTGTGGATTTGTGTTTAAAGTAACGAGAAAAAGGGGCATAATTTCAAGAAATGTGTTTAAGCAATTTTGAAAAACTGTAATAAAGCTCTGTTATGAAATGAGCAAAATATGCCTATTTAGTATGCAGTTCAATTTCTACTCTGTTTAAACACATTCCTTTCTAACCTAGGCTATATCATATCTGCGTGATTACAATAACTCTGTTTCAACAATTCACCATGTCGGTTTCACCTACAGCATTAAGCTCAAATGTTACTTGCAGTAGCACATTGTTGCTGCGCTTCCTCTTTTAAACAAAGCTAGAAATTAATATAACTCTTACAACTCTGTTTCAACAACCACATTACATAGGCCCATATAAAATATATTTTTTAGAAACTTGCATAATGACGATAGAGACCATGCAGGTTCGGTACAGAAGCAGGCCTACAGAACTTACTGTATTGGAAATCCTGAAAAGGATGAGAAGGAAGCTAATCGGAGAATCTTGAAGCATATAAGCTCCGTCCCCGCGAGCGTACCTCGCCCTTGCTGTTGCAGAGCGGAGTGGCTCGCACTGTACTGTAGTTTATTCAAAGTTCAATGATTCGAAACGAGTCCATATTGCACCAAATACAACACTACACTGCCTCTGGTCCACACCAACACCCCGGCCACATGTGAGGTCTATTGGATTATTGGTTATTGACAGTGGTGTAGTCTAGTTCTTTGTAGTGAGTATAGCCTCATACTCACGGGTCCCAGAGCGACACGTCCCAAAGCGACACCCCATAAGCACCACACTACACTTACGTATATATACAGTATGCAATACATCTAATAGAGAGCATTCTGATGGACTGTTTAGGCTATGTGTTATCAACACTGCAAATACTTTAACAGCCAATGACGGTTAGGGGAAGGGCGTCGCTTTTTGTTGAAAAGTGGTGCGGACATTTTAGGGCTCAGAAAAGAGTTGTGACAAAACACTTAGCAATCTGGACCGTCTGGGGGGTCTGGAAAGCAGTCAGTATCTGGTGTGACCAACATTTGCCTCATGCAGGGCAACACATCTCCTTCGCATAGAGTTTATCACGGTGTTTATTGTGGCCTGTGTAATGTTGGCATACTCCTCTTCAATAGCTGTGCGAAGTTGCAGTCAGGTCGAGACCCCGATGAGGACGACGAGCATGCAGATGAGCTTCCCTCAGACGGTTCCTAACAGTTTGTGCAGAAATTCTTTGGTTATGCAAACCGATGGTTGCAGCAGCTCTACGGGTGGCTGGTCTCATACGACCTTGGAGGTGAAGATGCTGGATGTGGAGGTCCTGGGCTGGTGTGGTTACACGTGGTTGTGAGGCCAGTTGGATGTATTTCCTTTGGAGACGGCTTATGGTAGAGAAATGAACATTCAATTCACAGGCAACGGCTCTGGTGGATATTCCTGCAGTCAGCATGCACGCTCCCTCAAAACAACGGGTGTGGCATTGTGCTGTGTGATGGAACTGCACATTTTCGAGTGGCCTTTTATTGTGGCCTGTGCAAACATTTATCTATCTAATTATTTCGGCAGTTTGGCATATTTGATGAAATTAATATATTTGCATTATTCTTGGGATGTATCCACATAGAGACACCTTGAAGCCTGAATACGCTTTTGATAAAAACAGACTTTCACAAAGGAGACAGGTGTTCGTTTCCCATTTGAATGAAATAGTTATTATTTGTTACTTAACTTACATAACTTATGTAACTAACATTCTCTTTTTAAGCAGCAGTAAGCAACTGCTTGTTTTTATTTAGCTTAAGTTACTTTTTTGGACAAAGCACATTTGTTTCTTCTT